TATATATATATCACGACTTCACATTTATCAAATATCTTTCATTAAATGTAATATTATTCCTTCGAGTATGATAAACAAAATTCTTTTTTTAAATATTTAATAAGTTGATTACCAATTAATCAAACTCGAAATCACTAATTAAATTGTAACAATCTTGAATCAGTTGTCCATGTATTAATAGTGTAAAAAGAATTTATAATATTTTATAATTATAAATTATTATATTTGATAAATTTGTTAAATTTTTCCATAATTATATTAAAAGTTATATTTATCATAAGTGGTCAAAAATAAAAAATGGACTCCTATTTTTCTCATTTATGTAATTGTCTCGAGTCACTAAAATCTAGGTTGATGAAATCCTGTCTCACATAGATCCGCAAATTCTTAAAGGCTAGTTAAGTAATTGTGTTTGGGTAAATGTGATTGTGACAAATTTGTTGCCAATTTGAATTTATATGTTAACTTTCTAAGTGGGAAAAATCGACATTCCCAATATAGTGGAGTTTAAAAAAAATGAAAGAGTATTTTGAATTTATATGTTAACTTTCTAAGTGGGAAAAATCGACAATCCCAATACAGTGGAGTTTAAAAAAAATGAAAGAGTATTTTGAATTTATATGTTAACTTTCTAAGTGGGAAAAATCGACAATCCCAATACAGTGGAGTTTAAAAAAAATGAAAGAGTATTTTGAATTTATATGTTAACTTTCTAAGTGGGAAAAATCGACATTCCCAATATAGTGGAGTTTAAAAAAAATGAAAGAGTATTTTGAATTTATATGTTAACTTTCTAAGTGGGAAAAATCGACAATCCCAATACAGTGGAGTTTAAAAAAAATGAAAGAGTATTTTGAATTTATATGTTAACTTTCTAAGTGGGAAAAATCGACATTCCCAATATAGTGGAGTTTAAAAAAAATGAAAGAGTATTTTGAATTTATATGTTAACTTTCTAAGAAGAGTGTTTTCGATCTTCTTCCACTTTGTTTTAGTAAAAATTAAAGTTTTGAAAGAGTTTTTTTGTTCGCTCTTGGAATATCCATCGCTAATAGCAGTGGCTAATCTTCTCGCTATATTGGAAGCACCTCAAATAGTGGGATAGCTAGCCCTAAAATTTAACACGACTGCATACACAAGGCAAGATTAAAATTTTAATTTTAAGATACATTAAATACTCTTCAATAATTAAAATTTTAAAATTAAGTAATAAATTACTTTCAGTAGACAATAGTAATTTTAGAATAATAGTTAAAAAAATAAGAGGTTATACAAAAAATATTTTATTTCTAATGATATTGATATTTCTTTAGATGGAAAATATCATGTTTTGATTTACTTTAGTTATAGGAAAAAAATTACTTCTTTATTTTTAAGTTTCTTAGAAGTATTTTGATTATATATTTTCTAAAATGATCGAATACACATGATGTAAAAGCAAAATCTCATGAATAGTAACGCAAAATGATTATTAACCCATTATATTTATACACAACTCATATCATATTTAAGTAGTTAGGTCTAAATGAGTACCATTTCAACACCCATTTGTAGAGCTTATTTGAATAGTTGACAAGCATCAACCCTTTCTGCCTATATAACTATACACGTGAGGAAAAGAATATAGTAAACATTTGGGAGCTTTTTGAACTAAATGTTATTCATAGGATTTCCAAAATTAATAGTTTGTGAGACATTCTTTGGGACATTGAGAGATGAAATCTTCAGTTGATTTCGTTCTTTGTCCCTCAAGGTCAATCCACAATTAGGAAGATCTCATGGCTATCTTTATGGGACGATTTATTACCGAAAATGTTTTGTAGACCACTAAATACGACAAAAAAACACCTAAATGACACCCATAGAACATATTTACTATGTTGACTCGTTATGATGACATGAGGTGCAATTTTATTAAAGGTAAATTATAAGATAAAATTCAAATTTCATTAAAGGAAAAAGATGAATCGAGAAAGAAACTTAGGTGTGGGAAGAAGCTCGAATTCTTTCAACGAAGATTGTTCAAGGCTTGCACACATGAGTTGGTGTTTTTCGTGAAGTTTAACTTGAAGATGGTTGCCTACTATGTCAAACTAACTACGTGTGTGCAAGGAATATAGGAAGAGTTGGAGGCAAGGAAACAAAGAGGAAACCTAAGCATGAAAGAAAGTGCGAAGTTTCAAACAAATGAGGGAAAGGAAACATAAGGTGAAGAAGTCGTATTGATGGAGAGGAGAAATAAAGAAAAAATGATATTTGTAATTAGAGGAAAATGGTATATTCTTTCATAACATTCCTCAAATTTGAGGTCTTAGTAACTACACTTCACAATACTTCACATAATTTTTCGTTGGTTAAAATCATTCATCAGCTAGAACCTACTATAGGTAGCCCTTTATAAAATGTTCGATCGCCTTTAGGATCAACAACTATTCTCATAAACCGTTACAAGACTTTTCAACATGTTTTGTTCTCACTTGCATGTTTTTTGGGAAACTTTTCAAAAGATCACTCGTCCCTAAATTACTCTAAGTCAAGCATGCTTAATTATGTATTTTTTTAAGTGATGAACTACCAAAGTGTAGATGTATCTTGTTGGTATAGGTATAGTACTAATTAATTCCTTTAAGACATCCCCAACTATATAGTCTCAAACTTGTACAAACCTTAGGATCCCTCTTATTTCAACGTGTTTGGGCTGTTATAAATGTTGGTCTCGGTAGAACACAAATCTAGAAGGGGGGTTTGAATAAATTCTTTACTTAGATGGCTTCCTATGGTCTTTAAAAAATTTCTTATTCTCTTCTTTATTATCCCATTTACAATTAATCAAATTTAGATTACAAATCAGTAATAAGATACAAAATATCATATAGCATGCATTGGATCAAATACTTGTAATCCAAATTGATTTTAGAAATCACCTTCTTTCTTTTATTATTACCAAATAGCATATATGATGAACTGAATATGAACAACAATTGATAACTTATAAAGAAATATTTTCTTGAAATTCTTTTTAACAAATATCACAAGATGATAATAAAAATATATCAAGAAATGAATGTTAAGAGAGAATTACACAATGATCTATATTGGTTCAGCCATACAAGGGCCTACATCCAGTTTCTGACTTAGAACACCACTAAATCAAATCATTCCACTATAATATTCTTTACACACACCATGTACAATCATTATTACAATTAAAATGAAAATCACACACAATCTTGAATCCACAAGATTTCACAAACAGAGATTCTTGCACCCCACAAGAACCTACTTGAGAAAAACCAATCTCGAGATTTCTCTTAAATCTTCTTAAGACACTGTATATCAAAAACTAATACAATCCAAAACACACAAAAAAAAATTTAATATCATAGAAAATACACCTAATATGTGTAGAATGATCTTGTACAAAGATTAGCTCAAAAATTTCTTGAAATATTTCAAGAACTCATCTTCTTTAATCCTTTAGCACTTGTATTCTTTCTAAAAAATTTGTGATATATTCTTGTTCTAAAACATTTTTTTAGGGTATAAATAATCTCTCTTTTAAGTTTTTGAAAAGAGTTATTTATAGTACAAAGAGGATTTCAACATTTAAAATTTCGTAACAGTTGTAATCTATTACTTGTGAAGGTAATCTATTACTTGATTTTTAGAAACTAAAACCACATTGATTTTAGATCAAAGGTAATCTATTACTAGACATGGTAATCGATTATCATGTGCTTCTTAGTAAGCATATAACTCAATTCTTACATAGGTAGTCGATTATGAAAATGGGTAATATGGATGATTGGATATTCTGCAACTAGTAAGGCTTATAGAGTCTTTAATAAAAGAATATTAGTTGTAGAAGAGTCTATACATGTTAAATTTATTGAATCTAACACTCCCAACAAGGGAAGTTTTTTATATGATGAAGATGAGACAGGTAATAATGGAAAACTTATGAGGAAACTGGATTGTTGTTGGCTTCTCTTCAAGTTCCTCCCTAGATCTTTAGCTCCTTGATTCTCCTTAAGCTTTTTTGAAGCTTCTAATGGAGGTAAAAGCTCCAAGGTTCACCATAGAAGGTGAAAAACAC